CTTCGACTTGATTGCTAACCATGCAATAAATGCGTGCTTCGGAGTCACATACGCAGTACAAATAGTTTTGGCCTAGATTACCTTCATTCCCTTCGCCCTAAAGTACTTATACGAGCCAGATACGCTGAATCTACCATATTGATTGTCCAGTTAGCAAATTTATTAGTAGTAGCAAAATTGTTGTGTTCAGCCCATGTAATGCGATCCCTGATTAGCAACTACTTTTTAATAAGAGGAGAGTCCTCTTACCTCGACATATAAACCCAAATGTTACTCCTACATAGATACACATGATTACCCATTCGATCCACAAAGTATTATTTATACAATGAACGTTCCAAAGTATTTTGGAAAGCAGTTCTGATTTCTAGCTTTTAATATTCTTAGGCCATGACCATCTTCAACCATTGGTAGGCATATATTGCTCCATGCAATCAATGGTTTGTTTGATCCCCATATAAAGTTCCGACAAAGATATATGACTCTAGAAGCAACCGTGGCCGGAATGAAAAAGATAGATAACCAAAAACATTCAACCCTTTGGAGTATGACTCTAACAAGGTCCAATCTTCTAGCTTATGATAATGACGTCTTAGACCAAACACCAATATAAGCTGTGATTTTGTTGAAATTTAAAATATCGAGTTCAAGCCACTAAACTTTGGAAAATGTTATACATTACTCACTGGAATAACTTCCATCTGAAACCTCTAACGAAATTGATGATGTGGCTAATGGAATGCACATGTGGCGCCTCGTCACACGTTAAACTTTGAGATTATCGAATTTTGACTACTAAACTATACAAAAAAAAAAATAGCGTTTTCAATTGCTCATTAAACTTTCAGGCGATCGAATTTTGACCACTGAACTTTGATATAATTAAACTTTGATCATTAAACTTTAAAAATGTCTTTTATTACTCACTATTAATTTGGATTTAATTAAGCCTCCGTTTATCACTCTTCAAAACAGAAATCTTTAATTTTTATACTCATTTTTAACCACACATTTATACAATAAAATATTTTATATATAAACTTAAATTTTTTAAAACTTTTTAAGTACACATTCTCCAAAAAAAGTACTATTAAAACTCTTTAAAAAAAGTCCATCAAACAGGGGCTAAAACTCGTTCTTAAAAAATTCGAATTTAATTCAATTTTAAAAATAAATATATAGTTTGTTTCATTGCAATTAGTAGTCATTTCCTTTGCACAGCTTTGCAAAACGTCTTCTATTACTCATAATAAATTTGGATTTAATTAAAATTCATTGTTGAGATTTTGGATTTAATTTTATTTAACAACAAATTTATGTGTTCGGTTATAAAATTCAAATATTGTGATGATGATAGTTTAAAATTCTATTAAAATAAATTAAAATTTAATTTAACTGTATAATTGAGTAATCATTCCTAGTGTATAGACTATTGCAAAGCTGTGCAAAAGAAAGTGACTACTAATTGCAATGAAATACCCAATATATTTATTGTCAAAATTAAATTAAATTTGAATTTTAGTTAAAGGGTTTTAAAAATTAATTTTTTGGAGAATGTGATTAAAAAGTTGAAAAAAAAGTTAAGTTTACATGTAAAATATTTTATTGTATAAATGTGAATAAAAATGAGTATGAAAATTAAAGAGTTATGTTTTTTAAGTGGGAAAAAACAGAGGCTTGACTAAATCCAAATTTATAGTGAAAAAGAAAAGACATTTTACAAAATTTAATGGCTAAAATTCGACTATATCAGAGTTCAGTGGCAAAATTCGACAACCTCAAAATTTAGTGAGCAACATAAAATATTTTTCAAAGTTTAGTGTCCAAAATTCGTATAGCTCAAAATTTAATAGTGTAACATGACGTCAAATGTACATTTCATAAGCCACGTCATCAATTCCATTAAAGATTTGAGATGGGAGTTATAGAAGTGAATAATGAACGTCTTTCAAAGTTCAGTAACCAAAATTTGACATTTTAAATTTCAGTCAGCAAGAAAACATAGATATAAATTTAGCGACCATTGAAACAATTAACTCCATCCAATTAGGAGTGGGCACTTTTTCTCAAAACCGGTGGAACCGGACCGGAACCGTTTAGAGCCGACCGGTTCGGTTCCGGATTTTCTAAAAAATATTTTGATTTCGGGACAAATTTTTAAGAATCCCCTGATTAGCAACTACTTTTTAATAAGAGGAGAGTCCTCTTACCTCGACATATAAACCCAAATGTTACTCCTACATAGATACACATGATTACCCCATTCGATCCACAAAGTATTATTTATACAATGAACGTTCCAAAGTATTTTGGAAAGCAGTTCTGATTTCTAGCTTTTAATATTCTTAGGCCATGACCATCTTCAACCATTGGTAGGCATATATTGCTCCATGCAATCAATGGTTTGTTTGATCCCCATATAAAGTTCCGACAAAGATATATGACTCTAGAAGCAACCGTGGCCGGAATGAAAAAGATAGATAACCAAAAACATTCAACCCTTTGGAGTATGACTCTAACAAGGTCCAATCTTCCAGCTTATGATAATGACGTCTTAGACCAAACACCAATATAAGCTGTGATTTTGTTGAAATTTAAAATATCGAGTTCAAGCCACTAAACTTTGGAAAATGTTATACATTACTCACTGGAATAACTTCCATCTGAAACCTCTAACGAAATTGATGATGTGGCTAATGGAATGCACATGTGGCGCCTCGTCACACGTTAAACTTTGAGATTATCGAATTTTGACTACTAAACTATACAAAAAAAAAAATAGCGTTTTCAATTGCTCATTAAACTTTCAGGCGATCGAATTTTGACCACTGAACTTTGATATAATTAAACTTTGATCATTAAACTTTAAAAATGTCTTTTATTACTCACTATTAATTTGGATTTAATTAAGCCTCCGTTTATCACTCTTCAAAACAGAAATCTTTAATTTTTATACTCATTTTTAACCACACATTTATACAATAAAATATTTTATATATAAACTTAAATTTTTTAAAACTTTTTAAGTACACATTCTCCAAAAAAAGTACTATTAAAACTCTTTAAAAAAAGTCCATCAAACAGGGGCTAAAACTCGTTCTTAAAAAATTCGAATTTAATTCAATTTTAAAAATAAATATATAGTTTGTTTCATTGCAATTAGTAGTCATTTCCTTTGCACAGCTTTGCAAAACGTCTTCTATTACTCATAATAAATTTGGATTTAATTAAAATTCATTGTTGAGATTTTGGATTTAATTTTATTTAACAACAAATTTATGTGTTCGGTTATAAAATTCAAATATTGTGATGATGATAGTTTAAAATTCTATTAAAATAAATTAAAATTTAATTTAACTGTATAATTGAGTAATCATTCCTAGTGTATAGACTATTGCAAAGCTGTGCAAAAGAAAGTGACTACTAATTGCAATGAAATACCCAATATATTTATTGTCAAAATTAAATTAAATTTGAATTTTAGTTAAAGGGTTTTAAAAATTAATTTTTTGGAGAATGTGATTAAAAAGTTGAAAAAAAAGTTAAGTTTACATGTAAAATATTTTATTGTATAAATGTGAATAAAAATGAGTATGAAAATTAAAGAGTTATGTTTTTTAAGTGGGAAAAAACAGAGGCTTGACTAAATCCAAATTTATAGTGAAAAAGAAAAGACATTTTACAAAATTTAATGGCTAAAATTCGACTATATCAGAGTTCAGTGGCAAAATTCGACAACCTCAAAATTTAGTGAGCAACATAAAATATTTTTCAAAGTTTAGTGTCCAAAATTCGTATAGCTCAAAATTTAATAGTGTAACATGACGTCAAATGTACATTTCATAAGCCACGTCATCAATTCCATTAAAGATTTGAGATGGGAGTTATAGAAGTGAATAATGAACGTCTTTCAAAGTTCAGTAACCAAAATTTGACATTTTAAATTTCAGTCAGCAAGAAAACATAGATATAAATTTAGCGACCATTGAAACAATTAACTCCATCCAATTAGGAGTGGGCACTTTTTCTCAAAACCGGTGGAACCGGACCGGAACCGTTTAGAGCCGACCGGTTCGGTTCCGGATTTTCTAAAAAATATTTTGATTTCGGGACAAATTTTTAAGAATCGACCGATTCCGGTTCGGTTCCCAGTTCTAGTATGGGAACCGTAGGAACCAGACGGTTCTCATTGGATTTTTTATTTTATTTTATTTTTTTTGTAAAATATATGACTCAATCTCCAATACTTTTATAAAAAAATAATCGGGTTCCTTCTTAATTTTAGACTTTCAGCACTTTCCTTCTCTTTGATTCTTTCCTTATCTCTTCTTATAATTTTTTGATTAATTGATTTTCAAGCCAAATTAGAATATTGGGTAAATCTATACCTAAATAAATTTATTTACAATATATAATTTTATTTATAAGATACAAATTTTTTATTTTGTTTTCACTTTGATTACATGATTTTTATTTTGTTTTCACTTTGTAGATCTATACCTAAATAAATCTTTGAATAATGTGTTCAATTCTTCTATATTTTGTTAAAAGTATCACGTTGGTAATATTTTTAGAGTTTTTATTAACGAACATTTTATTTCGACATTTTTAACGTAAAGAACTGGACCGAACCAAATCGGAACCGATTGGTTCGGTTCCACAGTTAGCTATGGAACCAATGGTTTCATTTTTAAAATTCTCATTGATATTCGGTTCGATTCGATTTTCTTTGGAACCGGACCAAATTGGACCGTGCTCACTCTTACATCCAATGCGCTAACGAAATGGAAGAATTGAAATTTTCATTTCCATTTTCTTTCTTTTTCTCCTCTCTTCAAACACAAAATTTAGCTTCTTTTTCATTTCTAATTTCAATTACATTTTCTTTCTTTTTTTCTTCTCCTCTGTGTTCCTCTTCAAACACAGAATTTAGCTTCTTTTTCATTTCTTAATGTTATTCAGTGCCATTCGACCGTTGTTATGGAACGTGCTACAAAAAGTTCACATAAATATATGCATCCATATAGATTTATGCATTTACTTTGCAGTCTTGGGGGAGAACCCCTCAAGGTAACAACCCTGATAAGTATTGTCCAGTCCATCTTGCAAACGTACTATAACATACCATACAAAATATGCACGAACTACTTTTACAGTTGTTATTCTGGAGTCTTACAGGGAAAGTCGTCCAGGTAACGATCCATGATAAGTGATGCAGATTCAAGGAATCCTGATTCGCTTGCTCCCTGGAGCACTGCTTCTTGTGCTTCTTGAACAATCTTCTCGATTACAGATTCCTTCCTCAATATTTCCCGACACATAATGCTTCCTATTGCAAAGGGAGTGAGCCCTCTCTCTGCACCTTTCTTCAGAAGCATGGTGGAAAGGCGAAACACACGTGCACACTCACGTGGAATGTTCCAGCCGTATAACTTCAGAAGTTGAATATCTTTATCGGCATCCAGGGACTTTATGTAAGCAACGGTATCAGGAGAAAAGGGCTGGTGAGCTTGAGGCCAGTAGAGCCAGTCAAATGTGCAATCTTCAAACTGCGATAAGGGGAATGACAAAAAATATAAGGGAAAAGGCCAGGGAATATACAATACTAGGATGGTAGCTAAGCATTGATCAATCTTCATTGCTAGTTAGATGCCCAATCCTAGGAGAATTTCAAAACCCAATTACTAGTATTTCCGAATTCCATTTCATTGTACCTTGATATCACAGTAGTTCCAGAAAATTCATAGACAAAATAACAAAATCCAAAAGTAATACATCCAATATTATACAAAATTTCAAAACAGTGGTGCGTCTATAAAAGTATAAAAGCAGTCAATTAAAGCATCTTCAGAAACAAACCAATTGTCTGGAACGACAAATACTGAATATGGACGAGGTAAAGAACACTTACATTTTCCGGCAAGCAGTAACCATGATCAATTGGAATAAGCACAATTCTACCTTCTTCACCCTCTCTGTGAACCAAAATGTTTCCGGCATGCCTGTCTGCATTTGCCAACCTTATGTCGAGGATGGATATCTTGTGAACTTCTTCAACAGGAAAGGCACGAGGACCCATTTCCTCGCAACTACCCAAGTTTTTCACGAACATCTGCAATGACCCAATCTTATCAGATGCATATTGATAACCATCTGGATAATTAAATCCTTTATGCCGACATTTAACCATTACTGTGGGAGGAACCCCTGCAAAGCCTTTCTCGTCACTATGAAATGAACGTGGTCCTCCCTTTGGATGATCCAAAATATATGCCGCAACTTCTCTTAGCGCACCTTCCCCTACTCGGGTTCCTTTCTTAAGCCCTTCACCATTTGTGGACAAGGGTAGCCCTTGAGGATTATTTACAGCCATGGGCTCCTCATCTATAGGCTTGAAAACAGAAATATAGTCCTGACCGGAAGAATCTGGCATGAAATAAGCACCACCAGATCCCTCAGATGATCTAATTGGTTGTTTGCCTCTCTTGAGCCCGTCAACCGAGGCATCAATTAGTTTCTTAATCATTGGCGACAACAAAATCTTTGAAACAGTTAGTGGTTCTAAGACAAAATCTTCTTGCAAAGATTTTACAGGCACAATTTGAAGTGTGTCATTCTGCATCCCCCTCCAAGAATCTACAACATCTACTGCATCAGCTACCTTCTCCACGTCTGGTGCAACAATTGAAATTTCAAAATCTTTTTCAAGAGGCTTTGTCCTAACTTTGGCCGATTTACGGACCAACAAGTGAATCACTGCACCACCATTGTTACATATATCATCTATGATCCTCTGATCTTCAAGCTCCTCGTCATCACAGAACAACTCCTGATCCTTGAGATCAAAAAAACCATTCTCCCTCTTAGCAATTTGCTGCTTCACATATCCCACATTCCGTTTTCTCTCAACACAAAATTCAAACTTCTTACCACACATAGTTCGGACAGTGATAGCTTGGAGATCAGACAACCGAAGAATCAAATGCAGCACATTCCCATAAGCAACCCCATAATCCCGAACACACGAATTGTTCCGAGACAATTCTTTCCCATCAAAGACAAGTTTCTGCTTTTTTGCAAAGAACCCTTGGCGTGATTGAATTCTAAGTTTCACAGAAGCAATTGAATCTGACTCCAGAACTCGCATTGGAATTACAGAACCACCAACAGTTAGATAAATTAAGATAGAATCACTTGACTGGGGACCATGTTTAGCCGAATAACAACCCGGAAAATTCCAATGATCTTCATAAAAAGGACCAAGAGCAACACTAGCCATAGACACTGAAGCCTTAGACTACCAAAACTCGTTGTCCTATCCAACTGACAATATCTATTTGGGTTAGATTTCAAGTATCCACCACAATATTATCAAGATTCAACATTCACATAATCAACCAATAAACTATCCCCCAATAACATATTCTGATCACTGAATTCCACAATTTTCCAAGAACGAAAAACAATAGGTTTTCACTGTTATTGGAAGGAAGTTAGACGAGCCCTAACCAAAGAAAGTGCAGAAATGCCATAAAAAAAACACAATGATTTTGGAAATGAACCCTAGTACCCAAAAACCCTAAGATCACAAACAATCAAGCACAAAAGATCAGGGCTTTGGTCAAATCTGAATTACGGCCTAAAGCATTCAACAAAATCCCCAATATTAAACAGAAAAATCACACGACCAAGAAAGATTTTTCTGCAAATTTGAGGGCCCAAGGAAATGTGGGATTTAAGCAAGAAATCAACTTTGAAAATATTCCAAAAAGAGGGCAGATTAAAAGAAAATTTTGAATTTCTTACCGGAGGGAGAGAATCAGAGAATGCCCAAAAATTAAAAAAAATTAGATCTTATGGCGAAAATCCAAGACAACGCGACTTCAAACTACCCAAAATCCATTTTTTTCCTTCTTGCTTCTCATCATCAGGTCGAGNCATTTTTATGTCTGTTGTCAGCCTTATGCTATGAAAAATTTATAGTGATGATTAATTATTGGAGAGATTTTTTTATTAATAGGTGAGAATAAGATTTGAAATTAAAACATTTACTTTTCTAAGCCCTTGTTTTAGCTACATTAGTTTCATAAAAATGCATTTTTGAACATTGTAATGACGGGAAATGTGGGACTAAAAAATAATAAAATTTTTGGATTTGCGTGTAATATTATTTTATTGAAAAATCTGTGGTTGAAATGATGTCAAATCACTTTTTAAGAATGTATTTTTTTTCCAAATAATGTGAATCAAACATGACTTAAGACTGTGTTGATGATCTTAGCCCTTGTTTAGTGTAGACAAAAAAAAGTTTTTTAGCAATTTTTTATCAAAGTTGATAAAATGTGTGATTAAAAAATGATGGATCTAGGTGTCGGAACGGTTACATGCATGTAGTTCCACATTTTCAGTGGAATGGTTACATTTTCTCCCACATGTTTCTTGGACAGAGAGAGAATTGGCTGTAAAATTCACGGCTAAATCTCCAAAGATTTGCACAATTTAGTGTGAAAATCCTGAATGCTCTCTCTTGCAACATGAAAAATATCAAAAGAACATAGGTTTTAGGGACTTCTTGGATCACTAGTTATTTGAATATATGATGATCCGGTTTTTTATGTGGACAGAGCACGTTGGCTAAGCTTAAAAGCTTTACTTGTAAGTAATTAAGTACAATTTTGAATAAATACAGTTTTTAATAATCAAAATTGGAATAAGTATTTTATTTTGAATATAAGAGTTATTTTCAGAAAAAAATAATTTTGTTAAAATTAGGGGGAAATGTAATCAAACTACGCTTGGATAGAAAAAAACATTAAAAGTAAATTTACTTTTCTTTTTAAGCTTAGGTAAACATGCTCTTAGTTTTAAATTAGAGGAAGTTCAACTGTAGAGAGCGGGAAAGGGTGAAAATTGAGTAAAAGGGGCTTTTATATATATGTACTTTTTGTATGACATTAAGGTCCCATTTGGGAGTAATTTTTCATCAAAAAAATTGATTTTTTGACCTTTATTTCACAATTTCAATCTTAAATTTTGACTTATTCTCTCACGAGTAATCCCCACTTTTCTTCTAACGATCAAAGAATCAATTATCAAAATTACTCCCAAACGAGACCTAAGTTTAATATGGACCCGTATTCCTTGAAATTGGTTATGTTTTCGGTCATATTGAGAACTTCTCTGGATTATGTACATTGCAACCTGCACATAATTTTGTGCCATTCTCTTGCTGTAGTGCATTTTGCAAAATGAAAATAATAAGAGATATATAATATTGATAAATAATTATCGCGCATAATTTTTTCCGTTCTCTCTTGTCTCATGGATAAGCTTAGCAATGACGTGTCTTCATCTCTTAGTCAAAATGAAATTTTACACCAAACTATCTTAAACATTTCAAAACTTCTCAATCATCAATTGGAAATTCTTCTTGTTATTTCCTAATAAGCTTTGAAATGATCCGTGTCTTTACTTTTTTTTTCTCTGTCTTTCAGCAAAATCGAAATTTTTAGGCCAAACTATCTAAACATTTCAAGACTCCTTGATCACTTATTGAAAAATCCTATTCATTTCTAGACTTTTAGTAGGAAGATTATCCAACTCATTATCATTTCTTACAATAAACTACATTCAAGAACTACATTTTACCTCTGAACCTAATTGTCACATATAAATAGTAAGGTAGCTCATTTTGTAGGCTTCTCCCTTGTTAGGTAAAAGAAAATACACAAGAAAATTTTATAAAAGCATTTTTGTTTTTCAATTTCTTGATTATTTTCTTGAATTTTTATACTCATAATTCTAGGGGTGAAATTATCGTAACTTCCGAAATTAATTTTTTTTCCACTTAAGAGTGTAGTTTTTCAAAATTATTGGAGCCAATATTATCATTTTATAAATCATCCTTTATAATGTGGTTTTGCAATATAAAGTTAAAAACAGTATTTCTCGAAGGTAAATTCTGATTCCCGTACAGTAAAATTTAAAAGAAAATATGAAATTACTAATGAAACTTAAATTAAGCTCGAAATTGTTCTTATTTCGTTTGCAATTCATCAATAAAATCAAAAATTGTTAGTAATCCACAAGTAACTAAAATATTAGGACCCACATAGTTGGAATGAATATAGTTTTGAATTACTAATTTATTTTCATAATTTTTAGTTTTTTCCTTCTAAACAAAATTTAAAATAAAAAAAAAAATGGTATCTCTACATAATTAGAGTTCAGTTGGTGAACAATGTTGCTTGACCCGTTACGCTCGTACTATGTCCATTGGCAAACAAGTGATCTTGCTCAATGTGCATCTAAAGTAAACAAGTTTACTAGGTTTCTAATGCTTGTACTCGATTATGAGTTGAATTACCTTATTTTACATGTATTAAGAATTATGCAAGTAAATTTTGTTTATAATTAATAGCCTCATGGAGAAAAATTCAATTCGAACTACATCACGAGCCTTTTTCAGAAAGCATAAAATAGGTCTATTTATACCACAAAATGTTCTTGAACTACCTTAC